TCCCCGGTCTCTTGGCCTCCGCACGAAGTGGATAAACCTCAACCACCAAACAGCCATGTGCACATATAACAGATAATCACATAAGAGTCTACAAACAAAACTGATCTAACAGATCATACCACATAGCTCATCATATCATCCTATCTACTAGGATGTCAATCTAACAATTCATACTACGTATCATATAACATTATCCTACCCTCTATGATACCGATCTAACAGATCATACTAGCATAACATAACTAGATACATTCCAAAGGGCCGACCTTGGTGCCTTAGACCCTTAAGTATAGTGAGGATAACTCACCTTGCAATGTCGACTCGTAGGAATAAGCTCAAACTCTTAGATCACTGACACGAACACCACCGCCTATATTTATTACGAACCATACTCGTAAATCTCCAATCTTTCCAAAATTGTACTCAAAAGTCAACACGTCAACTCATGGTCAAAGTCAAAGTCATTTGTCAAGGTCAACAGTCCATGTTGACCTTAACTCGTCGAGTACCCTCAGCTGCTCGCCGAGTTTCTTTAATACTCGCCCAGTTGCCGAGTCACCAAATTGACTCGGCGAGTTCCTAAGTCTCGCGATCGAAGCTCTGAGATCACTCGTCGAGGTTTCCCACGTGCAACTCGACAAGTTTATACACAGCTAACGATTTGGAAAAACCCTAACCGACTCGTCGAGCCACTCAACAGGCTCGCCGAGTCTAAGGCAATATTCATCAGACTCACCGAGTTATTCATCCAACTCGTCGAGTCCATGACCATCTTCAAATGTTTCGCCGAGTCGACCATGCGACTCGCCGAGTAGCTTGAATCCCTCATCCATACAGAAGCTTTTTAAGTCATGAAAAGGCTCCAAACTATAGATTTAAGCCTCTAAAGCATGATTATCGCGTAAAGTTGCCAACTTTACGTGCATGCAAGATGGTATGACCCAAAACAAGATAAAAGGAGTGGCTTAAGGCAATGGTATAGGTCATAGCTTGGAAAATACTGAACTTTATGATAAAGAGAGGCTAAAGGAGCCCAGATCTGAGGTTGCAACCTCAAATCTTGAACCAACACAGAGAATCACCACAAAACCCTAAAAAGGGCTCTAAACCCAACCATGAGGAGATGTAATCAAAGGAGAATCAAGGTTACAACTTGTTACCTTCAAAATGATGCCAAGCCAAAGAGGAATCTGGATCTACAACAACCACTAGCTCCAACTTCTTGAACTCCAAGCTCTTAACTCCAAAGGATCTTCTTTCAAGGTCAAGAACACACACAGAAGAGGGCAAACATGAATTAGGGTTTTCTGGATTCAAGAGAGGCAGTAAGAGAGGCTAAGGGTTCCAAAACTCCGGGATTTAGGGTTTCATCTGCCAGCTCCTACTCGTCGAGCCCCTACTTGGACTCGTCGAGTAGATCACTAAACACGCGGACCAACCCGATGCTACTCGACGAGTAGGGCTACCAACTCGTCGAGTAGACCTTGAAATCAAGAAAGTTCTTATGTAAGTCAATTAACTGAACAAATTTATACACACCTAACGATTTGGAAAAACCCTAACCGACTCACCGAGCCGCTCAACAGGCTCGCCGAGTCTAAGGCAATATTTGTAACGCCCGGGTTTCAGGGCTAAGAATTTTTGACAATGTAATAGTCTAGATCAACTATTATAACTCTTTTTGAAGTAATAAAGATGAAATATTTGAGTATTATGTGATAAGCCCAATATCCTTATATAAATTTGTAGTGGTTGAAACGAGGATTACGTGGATATAGAGCACGCCATAATCCGAGTTATAACGAAGAAGTTATGGTTCGCCGAAGTTTTACGGCAAAACCGGCACGGCACCGGGAGACATAATAGTGAATTTACGATGAAGGACTTTTTAGCCTTAGTGATCTAAACCAAAGTTGTAGTATATGTTAAACCGAGAACATCCATAAAAAGAACGCCCAAATCTGACTTCGTATGAGGAAGTTATGATTTTTCTAAGATTCGGCTTAGCAGTGCACGACCCGAAACTCGAATTTTAGTTCGAGCGGTTTTTGGCTTACACGACCTAAATGAGAGTTGAATATCTCATTAATAGGAAATCAACGGTAAAAAGACAGACGAAAACAGAGTCTGTATGTAGAAGTTATGAATTTTACGCGGACGTTTAACAGTATAATCTCCTTGTACTGTTAGATTTAAGATCGGTCGAGAATTAGCCGACGAAGTTAAAATGAAAGTTGTAGATCTTATTATTACCTACGCGTGGATATAAAGAACGTCAAAATCGGAGTTCGTATGTGAAAGTTATGGATTTTAGAAGTCGGAAGTGTGTTGTGCGAAAATGGGTGATGTGGCACAATCTTGGCCATTGCTTTCTCCCCAAGGCTTGCCACCAGATGGTGACATGTGGCACCAAGTTCAGCCACATTTCACCCTATAAATACCACCTCTCTCACCCTCATTTTCTTCACACCTTTCTCATTCTTTCTTCTCTTTACTCTCCTTCTAGAACCTCTCTCTAGCCCCCGAAAAGCCTAGGGAACCTCCCTAGCATGAGGCGGAACCCCCGGAGCGCTCGACAGCTCCGAGAAGAAGAGCTTTTCGGCTCGAAAATGCTGCTCTAAGCAAAGTCTGGTTTTCTATAAAACCCGTTGTAAGTGAGTTACGCCTACGCTATTTTTAATATAGCTTTTATTTAATTATAGTAATTATTAAGAACTTATAATAAATACTTTGACTATTATTATGGGTTATATAAGTATTTTTTTAACGCTTATATAATAGTAATAATAGCTAGACTATTAATTAGTCTCGGCGAATAATAGACTAAACTCTAGTGGTAATAATACTAGGTTTCGTCGAAGGAAATTATTTTTAAGAAGCGAAGCGCTGTCTCAGTTCGGAATCACCACATTTTCAAGTGAGTGCATAGTTACTTTCATCTTACACATAGATATGAAGTATTTTATATATTACGTGCTATGTGTGCATATTATCTATATACTTGCTATCTATACTTGATGAATGTTTTTATACAAGTTTTAAATGATTTAAATTGTATATGTATTTTATATCTACAAAAATGTTGGGGTAAAACATGGGTAGATGTAATAAGACGATGTGTGATAAAATGATGAGAGGCCTCGATGTTGTTGTTGTTGATCCAGTCATCTAGCGAAGTATAGATGACGACCACGGACTCTTCTAGACAGTCCAGTGGAACGCTGGCAGACTCGTAACATGTAGGTGTTTGTGAACGATGTGTTCACCGGTGTACTCCATCCCCTACATGGTTGCCTTTAGGACATTTATTGCTAAGGAACCCCCTTAGCAGTGGTGTCCATCTCGATGATGATCCTTAGGCTAGGTCCCTTATGATAGGTGTTTAGGGACGTAAAGTGAGGATAACGGGAACGGGTAATCGCGTTATTGTTGATTGATGAAATTAATAAACTTATTTATTGTGGGTTGAAAACCCTATGTACTCACCAGGCTCCCAAGCCTGACCCACTCAGTTTCTTGCATTACAGGTAGTGGCGCATGAGTATAGATGTGATGTTTTGGATGAGGGATTACGGATATAGGCCTGTAGATACGAAATAATGTAGTAAGGCTTATATTCTATTGTTTATGCTTTTGATCTGTATCGAACATGACATCCCAAGTCTTTTAATGAAATAAATTTCCTTGGAAATGCTTTTGATAAATCGTTATCATATTTTGTTTTGGGAAAAATTCCGCAACACTTTTATTTAAAATGATACTCTGATTTTTAAACAAAGCATAAACAAAATCGATTTTTTCTGGCCGTGAAAATGGGGATGTCACAATATTCATCAGACTCGTCGAGTTATTCATCCAACTCGTCGAGTCCATGACCATCTTCAAATGACTCGCCGAGTCGACCATGCGACTCGCCGAGTAGCTTGAATCCCTCATCCATACAGAAGCTTTTTAAGTCATGCAAAGACTCCAAACTACAGATCTAAGCCTCTAGGGCATGATTATCACGTAAAGTTGCAAACTTTACGTGCATGCAAGATGGTATGACCCAAAACAAGCTAAAAGGAGTGGCTTAAGGCAATGGGATAAGTCATAGCTTGGCAAATATTGAACTTTATGATAAAGAGAGGCTAAAGGAGCCCAGATCTGAGGTTGCAACCTCATATCTTAACCCAACACAGGGAATCACCACAAAACCCTAAAAAGGGCTCTAAATCCAACCATGGGGAGATCTAATCAAAAGAGAATCAAGGTAACAACTTGTTACCTTCAAAATGATGCCAAGCCAAAGAGGAATCCGGATCTACAACAGCCACTAGCTCCAACTTCTTGAACTTCAACCTCTTAACTCCAAAGGATCTTCTTTCAAGGTCAAGAACACACACAAAAGAGGGCAAACACGAATTAGGGTTTTCTAGATTCAAGAGAGGCAGTAAGAGAATATGTGATCCTTAAATAGGGTGTCAAAACCCCGGAATTTAGGGTTTCATCTGTCAACTCCTATTCGCCGAGTCTCTACTTGGACTCGTCGAGTAGATCACTAAACACGCAGACCAACCCGCTGCTACTCGACGAGTAGGGCTACCAACTCGTCAAGTAGACTTTGAAATCAATAAAGTTATTATGTAAGTCAATTACCTGAAGATTGGAGCGTTACAGACCGATCATTAAAACAGTCAAATAGGCCTATATTGTTTAACTTACGAACACACCTCGGTTATTCCTCAGGAGGCAATTCACTCCAATAAACTATCCCCTTGTCTGTCTCCCCTCCAAATGATCGTTAAAAGATTAGGCATACATAGATAAAAGCATTGTGCTTCTTTGATATGTTTGCTTAGCCCTTTTCCTGAGGTTGCAACTAGTTGTAGCGGGTTGGTTTTAAGACGTAAACTAATGATCAAATTTCATGAGTTTCGATTCTAATATGGATTAAGTTAGACCTCGTAAGAGTTAAAAACCATGATTATTAGGTTAATACCTAAGACCCCTCTTTATACCTAATTTACAGAGGAGTGGCAGTCATAGACCGATTGTTGAGAGTTGAGACAAAAGGTAAACTCTAGATTCTTGGAGACCCTCGACCTCTGGTTCAAGACGGTTGGTCGCTTATAAAGACCAGAACTCTTCGCTCTTGCCCTATCTGTTGAAACCTGAAAGAATACAACTTCTTGTCAAACAAGGTCGAGGATTAAATCATCAAAGGGGAAACCCCCCAACTTTATAGAGTCGGCGTGAGCTTCTCCATCTCCCATGGCGGCTCTTCCTCTTTCCAATCAATACTCTCTCTGCGCTCCTCGCCTTGTTGACGTATCTATTCTCAAATCCCCACAGTTTAGAACACAAAATCTCGCTTTTCAATCCTACCAACACGTTCATAGTCGTCATTCGTGTAAACCCCTTTTAGGGCTTTCTCGATCTCTTCCCAACTCATGTCCGGGTAAAAATTGGCGTTCCTTCAAATCCCTGTGTACAGCCAAGGAAACTACTGTTCAGGTACCTTCTTCATTCTCACTCTCAGATGTTATACATATAATTATGTACTTCAATTCTACAGTTATATTGTCCTCTGAACCGATTTCGTTTGAATTTAACCTATGCAGTCGTTTAAGATTTATCGAATTTAGTAAATGTTCTATGAGGCGCTATCAAATTGGTATAATCCTTAGGCTGGGAGTAACATTAACATAGGCTACTTTCATGGCTTTTAACGATTTTTTAGATGATCATCTCCATATTGTGCTCTATATTTCTCCATTCAATCCTACATATCGTCAAAGTTACATCTCAATATTCATCAATCATACAACATTTTTTTGTTTGTTAAGATGTAAACCTTCTCTTTAACACTTACAAATCATATTTAGTCGCTACTCCATTCATAACACACACATGCATTAGCATTCCTTATCAATGAAAATCAACAAAACGTTCATTATTATTAATCATATTAATAAGATAAACTTATCATCTATATACTTATTACCATATACCAACACATTATCATAAAAAACCTTGTGACACTTTCAACTTCGTCTTTTTTTTAAGACAAATGAGGACGAGACTGAATCAGATGATCTTGAAGAAACGGAAACCGATTCAGACACATTGACCATAAAGTCACTCCTTCAACTCTACAAACAATCCATCCTCAGTAAAGATGACTCAACTTCATCTGATATCGAAGCAGCATTATATGATTTAGAAAAAGAGAAAAACAAATTATTGGAGAAAGTGACATCGTTGTTAGCAGAGTCAAGTTCAGGGAAAGAAAGATATATACGATTACAAGCGGATTTTGATAATTATAGAAAAAGATCAGAGAATGAGAGACTTAACGTAAGGAGCAATGCTCAAGGGGAAGTGATTGAGAGCCTTTTGCCGATGGTTGATAATTTTGAAAGAGCAAAACAACAATTGAAGTTGGAAACTGAACAGGAGAAAAAAATCGATGCGAGTTATCAAGGGATTTATAAACAGTTTGTGGAAATTATGAGAAGCTTACGTGTCGCTGTGGTCCCCACAATTGGAAAACCATTCGATCCTTCTGTAAGCTTTGCTTTTTTTTTTTTTCTTTTTTTTTTTAATATTTAAATAATGATTGTGTTGTGGAAAATTATTAGGTTCATGAGGCGATTGCACGTGAGGAGTCGAAGGAATTCAATGAAGGTGTTGTTATAGAGGAATTTAGGAGAGGGTTTGTTCTTGGGGAAAGATTGCTTAGACCTGCAATGGTTAAGGTTTCAGCTGGGCCGGGTCGACCCAAGTCTTCTTCTGATGGGGTTTCTTCTACAGAACAACCACAAACAGCGAATTTATAAGCCTGGAGATAGTTGAGTATTTTTTTTTTTTTTGTTTTCAAATTGGCAAATGCAATATCTTGTACTTTTCTTCTTCTATTGTTATGATTATGTTGAAGTTGAAGGGATACAAACCTTACTCCCACCATTTTTATCATCCACACGAGAATCTGAAAACACTTCTTTTCTGGTTACTCATGACTATGTGTGTTTGTAGCGGTTTTGGTTTGAATGGATTGATTGATTCAAATTGATTTTTGATTTTCAAAATATGGATACTAAATCGGTGAATCCTAATAGAATAGTCTCAACTCTGAACCAAGTAAAATCTAATCCAATCTGAATCAATTAAATTAAGATTTGGTTTGGATCGATTTTCATTTTCTAAGATTTAAGAATCGATGCATTCCAAAAACATATAAGTTTAACATTAACAAGATTAATTTGTCAAGTTTAAATCAACAACTTATCCTGTGCCATTTTAGTGAACTGAAGTGAAAGAAATAAATGTAAATTGACTTGTGAATTATTTTAGGTTTTTTTTTATCTGGTTTGTCTATTAATTTAATTTAAAAAACAATGCTAATTTATAAATAAATTAATAAAGATATATTTTAAAAGTACAAAATATAAATAAATAATTGTTATTAGGTTAGTTTTGACTATGGTTTTCATTTTAGCAAGTAACCTCCAAAATAATAATTCCATAAGTAAATATTCAATCCATATAGTTTAAGTTTAGACTAAATTTTCAAATTGAACAATTTGGTTTTATTTGAAAAGCGAATAACCCAATGTATTATGTGCATCAGTGCATGGGTGAAGAAAAAATAAGGTAAATTTCAATATAACTAATTAATCTTAATTGTCGTTGTAGAATTTTAATTATGTTGTCTTTTTTAAGTGTTTTTTTAATTATTGTGTATTTTTTTTAATTTATAGTGTGGTTTTTCACTTAAATGTTATTTTTAATATAACTTTAGTTTTTTTTTTAAAAAAATAGCAAAATTTTATTTTTAAAAGAAAATCATGTTATGTTTTATTTTATTTTAACATAGTGATGATCCACCCACTCTGTTAGTTCACTACTTGTAAGATATTTTGATAAAAGTAAAATCATGAAACAAATATCAACAAAAAACTGTAAGACAAAAAGTTGCTATCATCTGTAAATTGTAATGGTTACATTTAAATCCTAAGAAACAAAGCACCAAATCACATGGATGAAGATACCCAAACTTAAAAATTCTGGGCACCAAGACCAAGGAAACCACTCACCACTGTCTGCTTCTGTTTAAAAACAAGCAAAAAATATCAGAAACCTCCTTCCCTCTTATCTACATTGACCTTATTCTCACTCCCTTTTCCTTCCATCTTTTACACCTTTTTCTAATACACAGTCAACAAACAACAAGCAGTTTTATAATTTCAGATTAATAAAAAACCTAACTAAAATAAGAGCTCATATACAGTCTTGCCCCTATATCAATCGGCCCATCGTCTCCACCAATCGCGTGAAGTGCAACCGGAATCGTTGAAAGGATACGCAACACAAGCGGAAAGAAAGCCGGAACAACTTCGGAATCCGAGATTCCCATGTCTCCAAATGCCGCATCTACTTCTTCTTCTGATTCCATTTCCATGTTGTATGGAATGCAAACCATTGCCACTTCTTCAATTGTCTTGAATTTATTACTGCTTCCTTTTTTATTATGCGAGCGGTTATTTGGATAATAATTCAGGACCAATGTTGACGTGGCATCAAGCCATTCGGCGCTTAGACCCTCCACCTCATCATAGTATATTCTCCGCTCCATCTAAAACCATCAACAAATATAACAATTAAATTGCAAATTATTTGTTATATTGGAGGGCATTCACGTCTTTTTACACAGATAAAACAACTTACAGCCAACTTAGTCACATATATGGACATAAATTTCGGCCCCAATCCCAATACTCTAGCTTCTGAAAGGAAAACCTGTGACTCCAACATTATAACATTGTTAAAGCTTAAAATACACAATTGCACATTTATATGAGTTCACATTTCACAAAACAAAACAAGAATCTTACATCTTTATTCCTCAGTAAAAGCCACATGTAAAGCCTATCAGTAGCATCCTTCACATACCTACTCGCCAGTTTTCTTTCATTACAATGAGTCGCCACGTCAGCAAGCAACTCCGTCCCAGGAACCGAGTATTTCATTCCCGCATCCAACAACGCCTTTTGAACATGAAAACTTTCCACTTTCTCGAACACCAACCCCGTAAAGCATCTTTCAAACAATTTCCCTCCGTTTTTCTTCAACATTTCTTCAGCTTCAATTGTTGCAGCCAATGTCCGGTGTACAATAATATCAGGATACCGTCTTAAAGGAGAAGTAAAATGAGTATAAAGCGGGACCGCTAACGCGTAATGCCCCCAATCTTCACCGCCATCTGTCAAATCGCCACTACAGAAATACGTGGCTAACTGCATTGGGCGTGTAGCATACGACATAAGTACATGGAAAAGGACGGAATCGTCCTTCAGTTCGTGTCTTATGTTTTCCAAAGATTGATGAAGTTGACCCGAAGTAGAAGTGTTTAAATTTAAACCGTGTTTGTAGCAAAAAGTTTCAAGATCTTTTAGTTTTGATAGCTTTGGTTCCGGATGTTTCCGTAACAAAGCATTAGAAGGGTATGCGCGTGTGATGACCTCAGCAGCTGTAGTATTAGCCAATAGCATAAACTCCTCTACTAGAAAGTTTGACTTTGACCTTCCGGAAAGAACACAATCATACGGGATCCCGTTTTTATCAAACAAGAACATGATTTTTGGACTTTCGAGAGACAACGCGCCATCTTTAAACCTTTTTTCTTTCAAGACTTTGGATATTTCATAAAGATTGTTGACAGATGTAATCACTGGAGGAGGATGATAAGGATTTGAAATCCCATCAAGAATGTCTTGAGCTTGTTCGTATGAGAGTTTACAACAAGATTTTATAACAGTTCGACCGATCCAACGGTCTAGAACCACCCCATCAAGATTTATATCCCAGATGATGGAAAAAGCAAGTCTTTCAACTCCGGGAGAAAGTGAACTTAGATTATCTGAAAGAACTGGTGGAAGCATTGGTAACTTTTTCTTCTGTAAATACACACTTGTGGATCGGATTTGGGCTTCTAGATCCAAAGGGGTATGAGGGGGGACAAAATATGACACGTCAGCAATGTGAACACCGACCCTGTAAACACCATTTGGTAGCTTTTCAACCGAAAGGGCATCATCAAGATCGGAAGCGGTTGCAGGGTCTATGGTGAATGTGCATAAGTTTCTTAAATCTCTTCTATGTTTTAATTCGTCTTCAGGTATTCTCCAAGAAAGATGAGGTATACATGACATTACTTCAGGGGTAAAATCGGAAGAATTAATTGAGTTTTGGAATAAAATGGCACCAATCTGTGATTCCACCTCGCCACCTCTTCCAAAAACATGAAGAACATGAGCTAATGGACTGTCATACTCTTCACTCCATTCCACAATTTGTGCAGCAATGAGGTCAGTTTCTAGGGTTAAGTCACAGTCATCTAATCTTTTTGTGATGGTGTTAGGTAAGTTTTTTACAGGAACAATCATTTTGGGAAATTTTGGATCGGTGGGTATGAGTTGGATGTGTTCATGTTTTGGAGATGATGATGGAAGCTTAGTCTTCTTGGATAACCAGTTTTTTATTCTAAGGAAACCAACAATGGAGTTCCTACGTGGAGATGTTTCAATGATTGCTACAACTCTACCTGTTGGCCTTTTTGATGGGAATGAAGTAATTAAAGTGCACAGTTTTTCCACTAAACTTACAGCTTCTCTTCCTTCATTAGGTGAAGAAGTTGTTGTGTGATCCAGCTCAAAGTTTGCAGGTCTAATTAGGTCTTGGCCATTGAAAGTATCATTTGTGCTGTGTAAAAGCTGCTTCTCTGGGGAAGCTTCTACTGACCCTTTCATCTTTGTCCATAATGAAAAAGGGTCTACTTTGATTGCAACAATGTCACCTTCTACCTGAAGGTAAGAAATGATCAGATAAACTATCAATTCCAATGTGAAAATTGTTATTAAGATATCAGCTACTCAATGTTGTCATAATCTCATTAGAATGTTTGAGACACTAGAAACAAAATCCTTCATAACATCATATATATAAAATATATCAATTCAATAAGGAAGATATCCATTCTCATTGATTATATCATAGGAATAAGAATTTGAGAGAACAGACAGAACTTACAGCTCTATTTTGGCTATAGAATCCACTAATAAGAACATCAACAGGCAATCCATCAATTTTGCAATAGGCCTAGGCAAGAACAAAGATCATTAATGTTATAGTTAACATATCGCAGCTGCTGAAATCTGAATAAACAACAAAGAGCAATGAAAGAAGAGAGTTCAAAATACCTCAACCCGATTATGTGCATTCACTCGAAACATTGCTTTGAACACATCGCCTTTCTGCAAATAGAAATATTGATAAGGCTTAAAACGTTTATTACAGATCCAACCATTATGTGGATAACCATGGAAGAAACGTTAGGAAGAAGACAAACCTCTAATGCAAGATTCACAGCTTCCATGGACCAATACGTAGCAAAATGTTTCCGTTGAGCAAGATGCTCAACCTGATTGTGAGCCATTGACTGAATCTAAGCGAGATTCTGTATTGTAATATGGTATTACCAAATTCAACGTCACCTTTGAGTAACTCGGAATTGAATAGAACAGAAACTCAGGGGTCGCAGAGTCACCTGAGCAAATTAGGGCTCGCGAGGGGACAGGTACCGGCAGGAAGTGACGGGCAATGGCGGCAGTACAGATAGACAATCAAAATAAAATAGATATATTTTTTTTTACGTAGGTCACAACTAATCCATCCATATACAAATTAAAACAACACTCCACAGATGGTCTGCAAAAAAGAAAATACAGAAGGTAAAAATGCATTTTTTTTATAAATAAAATAAATTGGACCAAACTACAAAAAAAAATATATATTTTTATACATATATCCAAAAGTATCATTTTAAACCAAAAAAATTTATACTAATATCAAAGCTTTAAAGTTTTTATTTTATT